GTCAGCTTACTACACTCAAGAGGAACGGCAAGACGGACTTTTAACCAGATTGTGACAGGTACCATCAGTACTGGAACTCTGCGCTGGCTGCTGAAGATGGGGACGGAGTGCGGATGGGAATGCTCCAAGTGATATGATGCCAATTCTTGACTCAACTCAACATGTTTTTTCAACTAATCTCATGTCTTCTTATCGGCATTCATTCATAAATGGTCTTCAGATTGTCTACTTTGTCCAGTACAAGTGTTTTTGTAGCTATCGCTTCTGCAGCCACACCTTCAGACAAATAAACAAATGCTAACCACTATTCTCCCAAACCTCTGGACAAATAAACAAGCTCTAACTACTCGTCTCCGAACACCTCCAGAAAAGTTCTAACTACTTGTCTCCCAACAACTCTCCAGAAAAGTTCTAACTACTCGTCTCCGAACACCTCCAGAAAAGTTCTAACTACTTGTCTCCCAACAACTCTCCAGAAAAGTTCTAACTACTTGTCTCCCAACACCTCCAGAAAAGTTCTATTACTTGTCTCCAAACAACTCTAGAAATGTTCTAACTACTTTTCTCCGAACACCTACAGAAAAGTTCTAATTACTTTTCTTTGAACACCTACAGAAAAGTTCTAACTACTTGTCTCCAAACATCTCCAGAAAAGTTTTAACTACTTTTCTCTAAACACTTCCAGAAAAGTTCTATTACTTGTCTCCAAACAACTCTAGAAATGTTCTAACTACTTTTCTCCGAACACCTACAGAAAAGTTCTAATTACTTTTCTTTGAACACCTACAGAAAAGTTCTAACTACTTGTCTCCAAACATCTCCAGAAAAGTTTTAACTACTTTTCTCTAAACACTTCCAGAAAAGTTCTATTACTTGTCTCCAAACAACTCTAGAAATGTTCTAACTACTTTTCTCCGAACACCTACAGAAAAGTTTTAATTACTTTTCTCTGAACACCTACAGAAAAGTTCTAACTACTTGTCTCCGAACATCTCCAGAAAAGTTCTAACTACTTGTCTCCCAACAGCTCCAGAAAAGTTCTAACTACTTGTCTCCCAACAGCTCCAGAAAAGTTCTAACTACTTTTCTCCAAACACCTCTAGAAAATTTCTATTACTTGTCTCCAAACAACTCCAGAAAAGTTCTAACTACTTTTCTCTGAACACCTCCAGAAAAGTTTTAACTACTTTTTTTTCAAACATCTCCAGAAAAGCACAAAAACTCACTAAAAGCTGAGATGTTCCCAACTCATCGATGACTGTGCTCTGTGTCCTGGATATATGAACACCCAGTTCCCTGTGTATGCCGCAGCACTCCAGGCAGATCATCACTCCCAGGTTTACTGACAGCCACTCCGGATCTGAAACAGATTCACAGGAAGCTCCATGTTAGTGTAAAGAAGGAGAAGGAACGATGGCAGCAGAGATGGATAAGGAACAGTGGCAGCAAAGGAGATAGACAAGGAACAGTGGCAGCAAAGGAGATAGATAAGGAACAGTGGCAGCAAAGGCGATAGATAAGGAACAGTGGCAGCAAAGGAGATGGATATAGAACAGTGGCAGCAAAGGAGATAGATGAGGAACAGTGGCAGCAAGGGAGATAGATGAGGAACAGTGGCAGCAAAGGAGATAGATGAGGAACAGTGGCAGCAAAGGAGATAGATGAGGAACAGTGGCAGCAAAGAAGCAGGGTAAGGAACAGTGGCAGCAAAGGAGGTGGTTAAAAAAGAGAAGCAGCAAAGGAGATGGATAAGAAAGAGAAGCAGCAAAAGAAGAAGGATAAGAAAGAGTAGCAGCAAAGGAGAACAATGCGGAAGCGTAGCAGCAAAGGAGAAGGGTGAGAAAGAGTAGCAGCGAAAGAGAGGGAAGAGTAGTAACAAAGGAGAAGTTAAAAAGAAGAGTAGCAGCAAAGGAGAATGATAAGGAACAGTAGCAGCAAAGTAGAAGGAGAAGGAACATTGGTAGCAAAAAAGAAGAATGAGAAAAAAGAGTAGCAGCAAAAGAGAAGGATAAGGAACAGTAGCAGCAAAGAATAAGGAAGAGTATTAGCAAACAAGAAGGAAGAGTAGCAGCGAACAGAAGGATAAGGAACAGTAGCAGTAAAGATAAGGATAAGGAAGAGTAGCAGCAAAGGAGAAGAAGAAACAGTGGTAGCAAAGAAAAAATGATAAGCAACAGCAAAGAACACGTAACAGCAGCAGCAAAGGACAGAGATAAGAAACAATATTTGGAAAGGAGAAGGATAAGAGACAACAGCAGGAAAGTAGGAGAAGAGACAGCAGCAGTAAAAAGCTACAGCAGCAGACAATTTTGAGAAGATGCAGTATAAGCATAAAGATGTGAAGCTGTAACAAAGGCAGCAAGAGGAAGAATAGTTAAAACAGAAGAAATAAAGAGAAGTGGAATCTCTGGGTCACAGCTCATACCTGCAGCACCACAATCACAGCATTCCCTGTTGCCTGGCAACCTCCTGATCCTGTCCATGATGCTGGAAGTCAGTTCCCTGACACTTTGGTTCAGACTGGTCGAGTTAGAGTTGTCTTTGAAAGCCTTCATTAGGATTTCCTCCTTCGCGTTGTTCAGCACTGAGATCCACCTACAGGGAATTATACACACATCGAACTTAATACTCTATTACAATATAAAGATGTGTGCAAGCAGGACATGGATGATACAGGTATTGAGGCGGACTCATGGGAACAAAATGCCATGGACCGTGTTGTGTGGAAAGGGCATATCAGGAAAGGAATGAGACTGAAAAAAAATAAATGACTGCAGAAAGGATGAGAGCTAAGCGTCTGAAAAGAAACGGATTAAACACAAATGTTGACAACAATGGTCCTGAAATCCCATGCTATCATTGTGGAAGACTTTTCTTGACACGGGCGGGTCTTGCTAGTCAAACTCGCCATCGCCATGGGCTGTGAGTCTCATGCCTCCTCACAGCGCAATATAACAAAAACTATAGTATGGAAAGACGGAAAGGTGTCAATGTGTGAACTTGAGAAAAACTGAGTTACTTTACCTTCAAAGGAATGTGCCTTCGGTCATTTATCACACACTAAACAGGCAGTTTGTGGAAAATTTTTGAAAGCAGTGGCAATTAGGATGTAAAATCCCATTTTATGTAAACAGAAGGATCACATCTTTAATCTCAGATTTCTGTGCTGATTACACAGTAAATCTTAATGACTACTGTTGGCAAGATATACAATTAAACAAGAGACAATGTGATGTTTGTATTCAGTTGAAAGGATTTATATTTTGTACTTCATTAAATATTGTTGTAAAAACAAACTGTAGTCACACACCCGACATTTGGGTTCTCATTATTTCTTCTTTTTCTTCTGCATTTGCCCATAACTCCTTCAGTACTAGAAGTAAGTTAAATTTGTTTGAAATCAAAGCATGATGTGTTCCCTGGTACCCTAAGAGTTAACAGGGCAGTTGGCGTGCTGTGTCGTGGTTTACAGCTAGCCTTGCGGTTCAACCGATTTAAGTTAACCAATAATTAGTCGCCTTTTATGACATGCTTGCTGGAGGCAGTAGATCCTCCTGCCCCCGCCCACTTTGGTCTCCCTCATCAACATCTGTTTTGAAGTTTCTCTTGGATGTGCTTGATTCCTTTTTATTCCCTTTTTTCAGTGATTGCTTGATGATTCTCTGCTGGTTTCTGCACAGAATGTGTCGAATATAGAGCCCTCTGCTCTGTCTTATAACTCTTGCTACCAGTGGTTGCCCATACATTTCTCTTATTTCTTCACCCCTTTTTGAATTTATCCTATGTTATGTCTTACATCCAGAAAACCTATTCTAGTGATTAGTTCTGAGCTGAGCAGTGTGCATGGAGTATATGTGAAAGCATAAAACTGTCCCCCCTAAGCAGCATCTGCTATGAAACTACTTTTCTCTAACAATGTTAGTAGAAACATGTAATTTATGTTTCATCACTTTCCACATTCAAAAACAGATCTGTATAAAATGACACAGGCTCCCCCCCCCCCCCCCCACCCCCCCCCCAAAAAAAAAATCTCTGCCTAAAATGAGTATCTGGAAATGCCCTAGGAAGTAAATGTGGCTGAGATTATGCTGACTGAGCAAATCATCCATTAAGTGCTGACTGGTCTATAAACTCATGGACCAAATGCCCAATGCGCCAATGCTGTTAAAAAAGTCCTTTCTTTTAATCTTGTTTTTCTTCTTAGCGTTCACCAGCTGAAAACTCTGGCAGAAAGTCCATGTTGTTCGAACATTTGAAGACGTTTTCTTGTTCCAGAACAAGACAAGAACATCCATGTTACAGATCTGGCTTATTTGAATGCAGACTGTTGGTTCCTCACTTCTCAGATAAGTGCGCTCCGACATTTAAGGAAACACACCTGATTAGTAACCTTTTCAGCATGCTTGTTAGGGCGCAGTGGGCCTATTCTTTTTGCACGATAATGCGTTTGAGGAATACAAATCCACATGGAGAATTTTTTAATTATACTTGAATAAAATCTAAGAGTTAAAAAAAAAAAAGGTTAGTTCCCCTATAATCTGCCCATGTTACACACTAGCTCGCTTCTGATTGGTCGACCTCCGGTCACCCGACCTTTGCACACTGCTAGTGGGGTGTTCAGAAATGTGTTGATATCGCCTGTTGTATATTTAAGCACACCACCGCTTTTAACACTACAAAAACATTTAGACACTGGTTCTAACCCACAATCTCCATAGAGAGTGCTGCAACCTATGTCACGGGCATTCTCTTTTTTGGAAGAAAAAAAACATAACTGCAAGACAAGCCAGAAAAGAAACAACATAGCCGTAACCCCCTGGACAGCAGACGAGTCTAAAAAATCTATGAATGGAACGTGACCTAGTTCAGCTAGGAGCTTATAGTGGAATTCACCAATGAAAACTGTGTACAGTGCATTTACACCACAATGTTCAAGATATATTACAAACAGAAAAGAGGAAAACAGAATGCTACAAACACAGATGAAACACATTTCTTACGCATCCATTTCTTTTGTATCATCAGCTTGGAAATGATATGTTCTGTTGTCTGAGAAATACAAATAAAAGAAACAAGAAACAAAAAATTACAAAATTGTACACTGATTTGAAATATTACTCACTTGGTAATACACAATTTGGCATATTTATCAATACAGAACAATGTTCACAAACAGTTCACATGAACACCATCATAGTTGAAGCCATCTGTCCATTAGTGTATCTTATGTTTCATCTAGGATACAACAAATGAAACAGGGTGAGCAGTAATCCCTCCTAGCTGCCTTTCTTTCCTAGAAAATTCTGGTGGAAATTACCTGGTATCTATTATAATGAGGCAAAGTCAACCTCTTGTGGTACCAATCAGAAAGATAACATCTACTTATTATTCTTTACTCTACCCCTGGAATGCCTCATGGTGTCAAGAGTAAGAAGAGAACTCTGGAGCGGGTCCTTCTGTTCGCTTCGTTACCAACGCTATGCTGGCAGTGTCAAACATGGACAATGTCTTGTACTACGCTAGGTTAACAAGGAAAGATCTACTTAGGAACAATAATATCAGGAGGAGAGTAGGCACAGAACCAATGTTGAACTTTATAGCTAGATAGCAGGTCAAATGGTTTGGCCATGTAACAAGACTGGTCAGACAGGGCACTACAGACAGCAATGTTATGCAGACACAGCTGTAACAAAACGAGAGGTCAACCACCCAAAATATGGACTGCACAAATATCAGAGAAACTCTACAAAAGCACAATGTCTATGGGCAAGGTGGTCAGAAGAGCAGGAAGCACAACCTCATATCTCCACCTGACATTGACAGCGGTAAAGGAGGAAGTGAAGAAGAAGAAGAAATGGTTCTTTATTAATATCCTAACCCGGATGACATCACAGGACAGTCCAACATTTTAGAGGGTGGTAAGACTGGCTTTCCCAACTATCTCATGCTTTTACCGACCCCAAACCATCTAGAACCTTTCCCAGCTATCTCATGCTTTTACCGACCCCAAACCATCTAGAATTGGCCCTAACCCCAACCCACCTACATCCCACCTACATCCCACGAGAGAGTGCAGCCTAGGTCCCACGACTGCATGCAGCCTATCTACCACCCCCTGAAATATTAGACTGTAGCGTGACCTGTGGAATTTCCCTGTTTGGGGTAGGATATTAATAAAGCACCGAAGAAATGACAAATAAACAATTGCTACAAATGTTATAAAGTTAATTTGGTTGTTTGGTGAATCCTCTGAAAGACTGGATTTTAACTGGTCAGACCTGTGAAGCTTTGGAGTTGCAGCTGGCCTCTTGACTACATACACATCGTGCTGTTGTAGAGTTTCTCTGATGTTATCTTTCCATCTTGTTCTTGGTCTATCTTGCACTCTACATCCTTCTCCTTTTCTGATGTATTTCTTTGTATAGTATGGCATCACAAGGTATTCTAAGTGGACAACCCTTTGATTTGCTTTGACATGTAAAAACAGATAAAGCTGGTTTGTCTTTGAAACTTAACTAGTATACATTGGTAGTGCTATTCAAGAACTTACTTAGTGATGAAACCAGATCAAAGCACTTCTTTCCCAAGTCATCAGGCACTCGCTGAAAATCAAAAAGGAAAAAAAAAGCTTTAAATTTCTGCCTTAGACCTGCACACACATTTTTAAGTGCGATTTTAAGAATGGTGATAAACAAAGAGGGGAACAGCTGATTAGAATACTTGGCTCTTAAAAGGGACACCTGGGTTTAAATCCTTGGCCAGGTGTCAGGGGAGCACAAATGTAAAACAATTCTAACTGTCAAGAGTCAACCTGACTACACACTGTGAGTGAAAGAAAAACAACAACTAGACTCCGACTTATAACAGTGGACAGGTCAATGACTGGTCAGACGAGTTGTGTTTAGACAAGACCAGCAGGGCTATAAGGGTAACTTGAGTGTTAGAATGAGGGGGAGGTTACAAGGGGACTTGACAAACGGGTAGAGCAATACACGGCAGTTAATAGTTTGATACTCCAGTGAACAGATGTGTCTGTTTAGCACACCTTAAATGTGGGAAATGTTTTTGGCATGGGATGGACTAGATTTAAAACTGTGGAGAGGACAGTGATTGTTATTCATACTTCTGACAAGTGTTTCTTCTATGTAGTTGTGGTAGCCAAGATGATATGTAATCACTTCTCCAGATTCATGACTTTGTTCATTTGGCTAGTATGATTTGTGATCAGCTATACCAGCGTACTGTTGATATACTTAGCCAGTGACTACCTGGGATAAGTGTGCTTGCGAGCTATAAAAATACTCAGTAGTCAGTAACTTTGTGTGGAAGCCAGACTAACTTTGCAATTATTATGAGTTCTTAGAAACACAGTAATCAGTGTTTAAATGTATTCAAAAGTGTGGGCACACTAGCACAAATAACAATGGCACCTTTGTCACACCTATAAAAGGTGTCTGACACTAACCTAGACAGTCCGTGCAAATACATTAGCCATGTAGCCTTCTATTCTAAGGTCCAAGATTCCCCTGCCTATTTCTGTTTCTTCCCTTTATGTCCCAATATAGTATCGACCAGCAATCAACTTGCATCAAGCCATTCTATCTTTTGCTTTTGCAGCTTACCCCATATCCTCCCTTTTCTTCTTCTTTTATTGTCTCCTCACTGATACCAGGTTGTAGCCCAGTGCTATAATTCATTTTGTTTGTATGTGTGTGTATGGCTGGGTATGAAAATACCTGGGTGGCACCCGTCTGGTCTCAGGGAAGCCATTCCCAGTTAGCCTGAAATAGTTTTTCGGCGCGCACTGCGAGGACGTGGGGATGACCTGAGGCTCTACAGAGAAGGGACATGTAACTGACAAAGAGAACAGATGACAAGCATAATGATGAGACAGAACTGACAAAGAGAACTGATGACAAGCATAATGATGAGACAGAACTGAGAAAGGGAACAGATGACAAGCATAATGATGAGACAGAACTGAGAAAGAGAACAGATGACAAGCATAATGATGAGACAGAACTGAGAAAGGGAACAGATGACAAGCATAATGATGAGACAGAACTGAGAAAGGGAACAGATGACAAGCATAATGATGAGACAGAACTGATAAAGGGAACAGATGACAAGCATAATGATAAGACAGAACTGAGAAAGGGAACAGATGACAAGCATAATGATGAGACAGAACTGAGAAAGGGAACAGATGACAAGCATAATGATGAGACAGAACTGAGAAAGGGAACAGATGACAAGCATAATGATGAGACAGAACTGAGAAAGGGAACAGATGACAAGCATAATGATGAGACAGAACTGAGAAAGGGAACAGATGACAAGCATAATGATGAGACAGAACTGATAAAGGGAACAGATGACAAGCATAATGATAAGACAGAACTGAGAAAGGGAACAGATGACAAGCATAATGATGAGACAGAACTGAGAAAGGGAACAGATGACAAGCATAATGATGAGACAGAACTGAGAAAGGGAACAGATGACAAGCATAATGATGAGACAGAACTGAGAAAGGGAACAGATGACAAGCATAATGATGAGACAGAACTGAGAAAGGGAACAGATGACAAGCATAATGATGGGACAGAACTGAGAAAGGGAACAGATGACAAGCATAATGATGAGACAGAACTGAGAAAGGGAACAGATGACAAGCATAATGATGAGACAGAACTGAGAAAGGGAACAGATGACAAGCATAATGATGAGACAGAACTGAGAAAGGGAACAGATGACAAGCATAATGATGAGACAGAACTGAGAAAGGGAACAGATGACAAGCATAATGATGACAGAACTGAGAAAGGGAACAGATGACAAGCATAATGATGAGACAGAACTGAGAAAGGGAACAGATGACAAGCATAATGATGAGACAGAACTGAGAAAGGGAACAGATGACAAGCATAATGATGAGACAGAACTGAGAAAGGGAACAGATGACAAGCATAATGATGAGACAGAACTGAGAAAGGGAACAGATGACAAGCATAATGATGAGACAGAACTGAGAAAGGGAACAGATGACAAGCATAATGATGAGACAGAACTGAGAAAGGGAACAGATGACAAGCATAATGATGAGACAGAACTGAGAAAGGGAACAGATGACAAGCATAATGATGAGACAGAACTGAGAAAGGGAACAGATGACAAGCATAATGATGAGACAGAACTGAGAAAGGGAACAGATGACAAGCATAATGATGAGACAGAACTGAGAAAGGGAACAGATGACAAGCATAATGATGAGACAGAACTGAGAAAGGGAACAGATGACAAGCATAATGATGAGACAGAACTGAGAAAGGGAACAGATGACAAGCATAATGATGAGACAGAACTGAGAAAGGGAACAGATGACAAGCATAATGATGAGACAGAACTGAGAAAGAGAACAGATGACAAGCATAATGATGAGACAGAACTGAGAAAGGGAACAGATGACAAGCATAATGATGGGACAGAACTGAGAAAGGGAACAGATGACAAGCAAAATGAAGAGAGAAGAGACACCAAACTTACAAAGAGAACAGATGACAAAGAGAACAAATGACAAGCTTAAGGAAAAGTCACAGAACTGATACACAGCACAGTGATAAAGAAAACTGATTAACTGGATCAGAAGTAGTGATTCTTTGAGCACATCATGAGAAGTGGAACACCAGAGCAGATCATGACCAGGGAAAGTTGGAAGGGAAGAAAAAAAGCCAAAAAGAGCATATGTTAAGGAGTCTGGCATAATGGGATGGAAGAGAATATGTATAAAAAAATAACTGACAAGCATAGGTTCGGGAGGAGCCGCCACGGTGTAGCAGCTAGAAACTCGTCCATAGATCAAAAGGTCATGGGGTAGATACTGACGGAGCAGAACTTCAACAATCTCTTTCTCAAGGCCTAAGGTTCCTCCCTCCCCAAACAAAATATTCTTCTATGGTACGGAGGGTTGTCAAAACAGGAACTGATTCATGCAGCTGTGTACAGCAGATTGTGCCAGTCAGCAAGGCACTTGATGATGATCATCATCATTTGTTAGGGCAGCGGTTCTCAACCTGTGGGTTGCTACCCATTTGGGGGTTGAACGACCCTTTCATATGGGTCGCCTAAGACCATCCGAAAACATGCATTCACTGAAGTTATGAAGTAGCAACACAAATGTTGTGTTTATTGTTGGGGGTCACCACTGTTGCGTGTCGATTTGGGTTTTTCAACAATGATAATGCGAATGTAATACAAGCCTGTTGATTCGCGAGTCCACTGGGTGTCCAGTGACCTGAGTCAATATTTTGACTCTGTGTTGACTTAAGCAGGAGATGTCAGCCTGGCTTGAGTCAGTATTGTGATTCTCTGTTGACCAATGTCCGGAGTGACCAGTAGGTTCCCGAGTTGTCAACTAGCAGGGGGTAAACTGTCTTACCTACTTCACGTTGAGTGAGATTGGGCACAAGAGGTATGCGGTAAAGAAAGGGAGAATCAAGACACTCACAGTTTGAGTTGCACGGACAGCTCACAGGGCACACATGCGTATATACTGGGGTTGAGTTAAGCTGAGTGGAGGATAGACTAAAGAACAGTCAAGAACACTCGAGAGTCCAGTCAAGGAACCAGTCGAGAGTGTAGTCGAAGAAAGAGAAGTCCAGTTGGCAGAGTTGAGCCAAGGAGCTGGCGTTCTCTGTGATGAAAACGTGTCTTGGGTGACAACGCATGTGGCAGTCGTGATCACTATTGAAATAAGATAGCAGTTCTACGTATGAGGAAGAACCTCGTAGATGTTGGCAACAACTGAGTTCTGGGAGGACTCAGAGTTAAGAGTCTGCCGGTCATAGAAGATTTCCTCGATCAGGCTGAGGTGCTGTGTGCACATTATGGAGCTGAAGAATTTTAAAGTTTCCAGTCAGCCTATGTAAAGTGTCTGCTACAAGTATAGCAACAGAAGTCAAGCTGAGTAAGCAGCTAGATGAAGCTTGATCATCATCTTTACTGCTAGCCCTGACATTGAGGGTAGCCAGTAACCTGGGCACTGAATCGGTGAGCTCAAGAGTTGTAGTGACATCTAGTGTAGGCTGTCCGATGGAGCGCTATTGAAACTGTTTTGAGCGGAGTTTGTGACATTCATTTCATGTTTAGCCAGTGTTAGACATGTGTATGATCTTTCACGTTCATTATTATCTGTGCGGGTGTGTGTACGTGAACCTTCTTGTGAAATAAATATGTTTATATGGCAGCATGCCGTCATTTCAGTTTTCCTGTCTGTGTGCAAGTTGCAGTGTTCAAGCGAAGGCCATATCCTAGCCAATCACTTGACCAAATGTTCTCATATGCTGTCTGTAAAAAGTAAAGTAAAGGACCCTCTTCCACGCCTTTAGGTGTATAGAGCATATACGGCTAGACGTATATTTTTATAGACCAATCGGCACAGGAGGATGTGGTCAGCATCACGTCGGCCGCCTTTACTTTTCCGAAACGCACTCCAGGCTGGGTCGACCTAGGAGCCAAGGTCGTTTTTGAAAAAAAAAAAGTCCGGCTTCGCCAGAGAGCGAACCCACATTCTTCCGATCTGCGGCGATCGTCTAGCCGCTCGGCCACGGCGACTGCCATGCTGTCAGTATTCAGCATACAACAACCACAACATGAGGAACTATTAAAGGGTCGCAGCATTAGGAAGGTTGAGAACCTGTGTGTTAGTTGATGAGGTCAGCATCACACCAGGCATCTTTACTTCACAGGACATTCACTGGAGCCCCTTTTAGGCTGGGTCGACTCGACAGCCAAGGCCAATTTTGACAACGTTGATGTGAATTTGAATCCAAGGTCTTGGGCTACAACTGTAGCTCTCAAAAGTCATATATGCACTTTTAGAAACAATATTCAATGTCAGATTTCTGGAAGATTCATATTCTAACACTCTGGCTCTTGACTCTCATATCAGTACTCTTACTATGATCCGTTCCAAACTTTGTGCCCTTAAACTTTAACAAATATTTCAAAAACTTCTGTGTGGATCAACATAGATCATCTCTAAAACATGCGCAAGTGGATGTTTTGAAAAGTCTGTTTCATTCTTTCTCTGTAAACACGCTTAATGAATCCTTTGATTCAGTGCCTGTTTTTTTTTCTATATACCATAAATAAGGCAACACAGAAAATAGATCTGTGTTTACATTTTTTTTTAAATAACCAGAAACCATGAGTTCTTAACCCTTTGGCTCGGTACTATAGAGATCGCAACTCTTCTGCCTTGATTCCATGATAAATACCATAAATCTGGGAGAAAAGTGGCTTTTTTGCCTACCCCTGGGCGTGAACCCGGACCACAAGGAGTTTGTCATCCGGTCGTTGCGAAGTCAGGTTTAGCCAACTATGCTAGCAAGCCGAGCTTGTTTGTTTACATAATAATTACCTTCCTATAAGAAGATTATTAAAAGTGCATGGCAAATTTCAATGATTTACACTGAATGGTTACTGAGTTTCAGCTTTTTAAAGTTGGACACAACTTTTGAAACATACTCTAGCTTTCTGATACACATTCTCTCTCTGCCTCCCTTTTTCTCCCTCCCCCTTTCTCTCTCCTTCCTCGCCCTCCCTTCTTATTTCCTCTTTCACAGTTCGTCATTACCTTGACTTGACAGGTGAGCAAGTTCAACTTTACTGGATCTTTACTCTCCTGGGGACAAAAATTCAACCAAATTGTGGATAATCCCAGTATTAAATATCGATTCATTTGTTCATTTTCTCTCGTTTTCTTTTTCATCCATGATTGCAGACTGTAGGGTTAACAACCCAAGGATGAGAATCAAACCCCAAAACCATGTTTAACCGTATAACAGTTATACTGGGGCACGCTACGGTTTTGAAGAAACCTGCTGTACAATGTAGGTGGGTGAATGCATAATATTTTACTTGTTCATTCTTTGTAAGTTGTTGTTTCTGTAACAATGTGGACAGATAACTCTAAAACAGTAATCTTGTGTAGTTCCAAAACATACACACTCTCTAGGTCCGCAAGTAAAGGACCCTTTTCATGGCTTTTGAGCGTCAGGCAAACAGTAACAGTTAAGGACCCTTTCCCACGCCCCTCAGGCGTATAGGGCTAGACCTATATTTTATAGACCAACGGCACAAGATGGGTGATGTGGTCAGCATCACGATTTTCGTCTCTACTTCCCGGGACTGAACCTGGTACCCACTCAAGGCTGGGTCGACCTGGCAGCCAAGGTCATTTCTGAAAAAGTCCGGCACCGCCAGGGAGCGAACCCACGACCTTCCGATCCGGAGACGAGGGTCTAGCCGCTCTGCCACGGTGACTTCCCATACAGTGCTGGAACTATATTTTTTATAGACTAATCTGTACTCGATAGGTGACGTGGTCAACATCATGCCGGCGGCTTTTACTTCCCAGGAAAATACCTGGTACCCATTTTAGGCAGACCAGGGAGCCAAGATCAGTTAGGAGACTTGAACCCTAGACGTTATACTCAGGGTGCCCTATAAGTTTCCATACATGATTGGGGGGGGGGGGCATCTTATATGAAATATATTGTTATTTATATTATATGCTCTACATCGGGACTATTCAACTAAGCTGATTCAGGGGACTGAGCCCCAGCATTGACCATTAACTCTTTGAGTCCCAAGGAACGCATCATACGTTCATAGGTTCCTACCTAGAAGCCCATAAACGCAAGATGCGCCAATTTTATTACTTTCTTTACCACTCCTTGGGCCTGTGATGCTAAACCCCCTGGGACTCAAAGAGTTAAATACAATACAAGTGACAACTTGCTATAAAACAGTTTTCTCGGTGCTCAGGCTACGAGAACTCAGGTAGCTGGCTCACACCTGGAGAATGGAACATGGCAGAGTCCCTAAGGACATCCTCTATGGTGAATTAAAAGATGGGCAAAAGATGTCGAGGTCGACCTCCACTATGCTATAAGATGTGTGCAAATGATACAGGTATTGAGGTGGACTCATGGAAGCAAAATGACACGGACAGTGTTGTGTGGAGGGGGCACACCAGGAAGAGAATGAAAATGATGGAAGAAATTACCATAGAAGGGATGAGAGCTGAGCATTTGAGAAAAAACACTAAATACAAAAGTTGACAACATTGGTCTTGAAATCCCATGCTATAATTGTGGAAGACTTTTCTTAACGCAGGCGGGACTTGCTAGTCATACTCGCCATTGCCATGGGCTGTGAGTCCCATACCTCCTCATAACACAATATAACATTATCGTCCAGAAAGACGGAAAGGTGTCAATGTAATCTACATAACAACATGTTTCAAAAACACACTTCAATGTATGTTCTCCATAGGTGAAGAACACACATATGGGTAGTAACCCATAAGTGCTCTGTTCTACTTCGAACTCAAGCCAGTCTGAAGCATCTCAGCGCAGTGCACGAACTCTGTTGCGCCGGCGGGGTCCTGAAATACTTTTGGTAGATTTTAAACTCCCAATTTAGCCTTGGCAGCGCTGTTTGGCTACTCTTTTCAATTTCTAAATGCCAAGGGATTTTTTACGTGCGCAAGAATACACACGGCCGTCCAATCTGACTACCCAGAGACCAGGGGGAATTACTAGTCTACGTAAAAAAATCCCATCCTTCACTAGAGCTTGAACCTGGGACCTCCAGCACTCGAAGCGGACACTATACCTTGAGACCACTCAGCCCCCTCCACAGATGTTATGCTTGTAAAAGTGTTGCTTAAATGTTTTTTTGCCCTATGAATGAAAACTGATCTTCTGAGATAAAGTGCTTATGATGATACCTTATCTTGCTGCATTCAAACAAGATGGCCAAACCACTAGATTCATTGAGAGAAACAGCAGATCAAGCGGCTTGGCCATCTCGTTAGAATGCAGCAAGATCAAATACCGTCACAACCACTACACTTCAGAAAATCAGTTACAAGAGCAAGAGGACGGTCGCGTAAAAAATGGACTAACAATATTAAAGACACTTTATGCCTTCACGGCACGACTGCAACCAGTGGCAGCACATGTGCACTGGATCACAAATTATTTCTCACCACAACGCTTAATGGCAGAAGTGAATGATAATGATGAAAACTCATGGGAACCCTGGTACGTAGGCATGCACACGCACGTGCACACACATACATACATATACATTATATATATATATATATATATATATATATATATATATATATATATATATATATATATATATATATATATATATATATATATATATATATATATATATATATATATATATATATATATATATATATATATATGATATAATTGTTTTCTAACTATCGTTTGCGTTTGCCCTTAAAAAGGCAATCAGTATTTTGTGTTGCGGTTGACAGATAGGCTGCAATACCTGTGCCTTTTAGTCCAGCACATCTGATGTCAGCGAATCACTAATTAATCACCTTTTATGACATGCCCCAATGGTGTCCCGGAACTAGGGTGACCATAACATCTTGATGTGGATACGGGACATACCACAAAATGTTTTGAGCCGAAAATAGGATATACCACTAATATTTTGAGATAAAAATGAGAAATCCCAAGTAAGCCTCCCTTTTTCTAGTTCCCTGGGGTGATCGGGTTAATTACTCGCTCAACAATGGTATTAAAACCCAAACCATTGCTGCCAAGAATTAAATGAATCAATATTCTCTTTAACTAAATGAAAAAAGATACTACAATGAAACCCACCACCAATTTGTATGCATTAAAACTATCCAAATCTATACATTCTAATAAGTTCTTCATATATGACTATAATGTATTTTCTATTCTCAAGCTTATTCAAAAATTTTTATAAAAAAGGATAACTGAAGCTTTTCTGGAGTACTGATCGTACGGCCGGTAAACAGGGAAAAACTGGGACTGTACCACACTCCGTTGCCTACATACTGTTTCAATTATCTGATCAACATACTTACGTCATGATGACTAATATACATGCAGCCATCCCGTATACTGCACTTCCTTCGTTGCCAAACCCTTCTCATCCTGCCCTCGGATTTCTTGAGCAAGTTTCCGGTTTTCTCAGAGCCGTGTGACTTGTCTCCGGTCAGCTGGTGGAGGCTGTATCCAGCCGGGTGTGTGCTTACAGGTGGCGGCTGGAGAAGAAAGGAGCAGGGAAAAACATGTGGGTGGGTGTTCTAGGAAATCTCAGCAGTGTTAACTAAGGGTCCTTGCAGTTTTCATGTGTTGTTGTTGTTGTTGTCCATCAAGATGATGATGACCACTCTTTTTCATCAAGTATGAGTATGAAGATGACTGATGAGGCCGATGCGGGCCCAAAAAGTTCTTGGACATTGAGGACCGGGAATGAGCGTTGTGTCAGGAAGGAGATCTCCTGCAGTCGCCTTTCTGTCCATCCTGTTCTTAATCAGTCTCGCTGTTCTGTTTGCTTCACATGTAGCCGCGCTCTTGTGTAGAGCTGCACGCCATGCATTTCGGTCTTGAGAGGCAGCCTCCCAATTGGTGTCGTTCATCCCAAATGCTTTAAGTGAAGACTTCAAGGTGTCTAGTTTTCATACTGACTAAAGAACCAACATCATACACTTTGGGCATACCCACAGGTGCTCCGTCTCCTGCAGCAAATGTCTTCAGGTGCAGATGCAAACTGTTCCTGTAGTACCCTAATCATAAACTCATTGTTCTCCTCCTCTTATTCCTCCCTCTGATCTGCACCTAATTCCTCGCACACACATTCCTACACATTATTTCATCCAACTGTGTGTCTTCTATTAGCATCTGTTCATAAATGGTATTCGGACCGTCTCTTTTGGCTAGCACAACTGTTCCTGAAGCTAAAGTTTTTTTTTGTTTTTTTAAAGCCAGAAAATCCACTTTTTTAATTTTCATTAGCAGGTTTCATTAGGCATTCAAGCACTGTTCTTTTTCTCTGATATTTCATTACTTCTCACATCCCTTTATTGAAACCGAGGCCCATTCTTTCATGTACTTCAATCATTAGGCATTCAAGCACTGTTCTTTTTCTCTGATATTTCATTACTTCTCACATCCCTTTATTGAAACCGAGGCCCATTCTTTCATGTACTTCAATCATTAGGCATTCAAGCACTGTTCTTTTTCTCTGATATTTCATTACTTCTAGCATCCCTTTATTGAAACCGAGGCCCATTCTTTCATGTACTTCAATCATTAGGCATTCAAGCACTGTTCTTTTTCTCTGATATTTCATTACTTCTCACATCCCTTTATTGAAACCGAGGCCCATTCTTTCATGTACTTCAATCATTAGGCATTCAAGCACTGTTCTTTTTCTCTGATATTTCATTACTTCTCACATCCCTTTATTGAAACGGAGCTCCATTCTTTCATGTACTTCAATCATTAGGCATTCAAGCACTGTTCTTTTTCTCTGATATTTCATTACTTCTCACATCCCTTTATTGAAAACGAGGCCCATTCTTTCATGTACTTCAATCATTAGGCATTCAAGCACTGTTCTTTTCCTCTGATATTTCATTACTTCTCACATCCCTTTATTGAAACCGAGGCCCATTCTTTCATGTACTTCACCACTTGGTGGTGAACTGCTACCTGTCAAGCTAGATATAGTCAAGGCCCTTTCAGGGTGAGTGAACAGTGCAAAAGCACAAATGTAGACTTCTCTGCAGACATCTCATTCCCATGGTAAATAATTTTTTGTCCCTGGTTTGTTGTGAGTGACCCTGTCTGGCACTGATAGCACAGGGTGGGGGGGGATGAATATGCTTTGCATGAGATATTTCCCCGTGTGGGTTCCAGGGCTCCATTGTGGGGAAAACAAGCACAGACCCACTGCCTGCCCAAAAGCCTGTCGTAGGAGTCGACTAATTGGGAGCTTCCTTCGAAGTCAGAGTACATCTGCCTGAGAGGCAAGGAACCAACAGTCTGCATGCAAATGAGTCAGATCTGTGAAACGGATGTGCACACAACATTCAGTTTCTGGGACAGGACTAGAGTCCAACGGTGTACAAACAACTAGAGCTTTCTGCTGGAGTTTTTAGCCAGTGAACGTGAAGAAGAAGAAGCATGAGATATTTCTCCATGCTTACTGGGAGTGTCTCTGATGTAAGAGAGAGAGAAGGGGTGGGGGGGGGGGGGGGGGGGGGCTGTCCCAACACTTGGTTTGCTTTACAGACTCAAATGTTAATTTACAAAATCCTTTAAAAAAATAATTCTGAAAACCTTAATCTAAAGAAAATGAACACATTCTAAAACATTGAATGTACACTAAGACACTGTACACAACTATAAAACACATTGCATTCCTGTCAATATCAAAAAGTGCACAAACATCATTCAAACACATTATACATGAAATAAAAGAAGTTGCTGCATGTACATAAAAATATACATAAGTATTTAGCAAGAGTCATTTGCATACAAACAGTACCAAAAATGCTACAAGACTGATAGCAACTATAAGGCTTGAAACTCACTCACTCACACACACACACACACACACACACACACTCTCTCTCCCTCCCTCTCTCTCTCTCATCTCTCCCTCTCTCTCTTTCTCTGTGTGTGTGTGTGTGTTTGTGTGTGTGTGTGCAAGTAAGATCATGTGTGTGTCTTCTCTCTCTCTCTCTCTACACTAGCATACACATGTGAGTGCACAGGTGTCACTGTTTCCCAAAATATAACCAGGCACCCATTTTGAAGGTCTGAAGGTTTATACAACGGATCAACATCATGGCACACTTGTAGTAACCCATAAGGCATTAACTCAAGACTGAGTCTGAAGAAGCTGAGCACAGTGCATGACCTTTGCTGCACCGACGAGGATCCTGAAATACTTTGGGTAGATTTTCAACTCCAAATTTTGCCCGGGCAGCGCCATTTGGCTACTTTTTTTAAATTTCTAACTGCCAAGGGATTTTTAACGTGCGCAGCAATACACACGGGCGTCCAATCTCACTACCCACAGACCCGTGGGAAACACTAGAAGTCCAAGTCCCTGTGAAAAAATTCCAGCCCTTACCGGGGATTGAACCAGGAACGTCTAGCACTCGAGGCAGACACTATGCCTCAAGCCCACGCTGGGTCACTCTGGGAGCTTATGTCAATTTTGCAAGAAAAAATCAGCCTCTCTACTGTTTCTGATATTTATACTTTGGGCCAGCAGACGAGCATCTAGTTTTCACAGCTCTTGTGTCTTGTGTTCTTACAATGACATTAATGATTTTTGTGTGTGTGTGTGTGTTTTGTTGTTGTTCATTGTTCAAGCAAACAAAACAGAACACTGAACAGCTCTTCTGATAAGGACACTGGTGCAGACACATACTGCTGAAAATCAAAGAGTGGTTCCCCCCTGGGAATCTGAAAAAAATTGGATACAAGCAATAGATTGCACAAACTGGTAAAAAATGCATTTATCTGCTTCAGTTTATTAAATTGTTACTGTAGTGTGCTTCTGATGAGATACCGAAAAATACAAAGTAAAATGTAAAGGACCCTTTTCCAAACTTAAGAGTGTACTGGGCATATAGGGCTAGAAGTTTATTTTATAGACCAATCAGCACCTGGTGGGTGACATGGTGAGCATCACACTGGCCACCTTTACTTCCCAAGACTGCATCTGGCACCCGGCTGGGTCAACCTGGAAGCAAAGGTGATTTAAAAAAAAAAAAGTCTGGCTCCATCAGGACACGAACCAATTACCTTCTGATCCGCAGGCAAGCGTCTCACCGCTAGACCACGGCGAGTCCCACCGCACAATAAGCCAGGCAATAAACTGCACAATCTGTTGTTTGCGTCTTCTCTGTGTAAACATGTATTACTAGCAACAGTGAGGCGTCCGTGGCTTAGGCGTTGCGAGTCCGACTCGTAATCCAACGTACCGCGATCGAAACCCACTGCTGGCTGCGTGGATATTTATCATGGTATGGGGCGTCACAGATCGCGACCCAGCCTTAAATGGGTACCAGGATGGGCTGTCCTGGAAAGTAAAGACGGCCGGCGTAATGCTGACCACATTACCCAACCAGTGCCGATTGGTCCATAAAAATATGGGATGCTTTTCCCATATACTCAATGCGCCTAAGGCGTGAAAAGGGATCTTTACTTTACTTTACTAGCAACAGTGCAGCATAATGAACAGAGGCACCCCTATTTCCCTTTCTTTCTCATTTGCCCATTATAGGATGTGAGCTAAGGTGGAAACACAAAGAGAAAATGATGCACATAACAGCACACATGAAACCACAATGTGCTCATCGACATGCCAATGTTTTAACATACACGGGCATATACACATATAAAATACACAATGTGTAACTACATACAAACAGATAAATATAAAATATGTGAGTATTGAAGTGTCCTTTAGGTGCCAGTGGTGTATGGGGCATATGGTGCCAAACTCATGTTTTTATAGAGAAATGGGCATTCAGTGGGGAATAAAACATGTCTTAGCTTATACCTTGTAACTGTTATTCTTCTTCTTTTTCTTCTTCTTCTTCTTCTGCTTCTTCTTCTTCTTCTGTGCATTCACAGACTGCAAACTCTGGTGGCAAATTCTTTTTGTTTGTCCACCTCTAGACATGAGTCTTATCCAAAACAAAAGAGTTGCACATACATCCGTTTTACCTGGCTGACTTATCTGTATGCAGACTGTTGGTTCTTTGCCACTCAGGCAGATGCACTCCACCATTGAAGGAAGCCGCCCAATTAGTCAACTCTCACGACATGCTTTTTTGGGGAAGCATCGGATCTATTCTTGTTTTCCCCACAATAGTGCCCCGGAACCTGCACTGGAAGTTTCTTGTTGTCTGTCCCGACATCCGAGCACATCAGTTCAACCAGTCTGTGCTCCATCCTCCGATACAGTAGCCATCTCAGTGTTTGTTTGTTTATGTTTACTCAACGGTTCGACATCATGGCACGCGGGCGTAACCTATAAGGGCCTGATTCTGAAGAATATCAGCACAGTGCACAAACTCGGTAGCGCCGGTGAGGATCCTGAAACACTTTGGGTATATTTTTCACTCCAAATTTTGCCCGGGCAGCGCCACTAGGCTACTCTTTTTTATTTCCAACTGCCAAGGGATTTTTTTTACATGACCTAAAATACACATGGGCATCCAGTCTTACTACCCAGAGACTAGGGGAAATTACTAGAAACCCACATAAAAAAAATCCCAATCTTCATTGGGGCCTGAACCCGGGACCTCTAGCACTCAAGGCGAACACCATGCCTCAAGACCACGACACCCCCCCCCCCCCCCCCCCCCCCCCCCCCATCTCAGTGTCTCCATGCTCACCATACCCAGTAAAAGTTTACTGGCCTGTCTTCTTTCTTAGCTCTTCAAAGTGATCGGTTTCTGCATGCCTGTCCTTGTTTAATACCTATTTCCCAAAAAACGATTCAACATCTCTGGCTCATGTGTCTCAACATCTGTGGAATGCAGCACATTCAGTAGGTTTGCCCTGTCCGTGCTTCTGCAGACACTGCCAGTCTATCGGCTCTTTTAATCCTTTTCCCGCAATGTGTCCTGGTGTGTAAAGCCAAAACAGATTCTCAAAGATGCTCTCAACTCATTCTAGTTAAAGTCTGCCAGTTTGGATATGTCCTATGCATTTGCAGATAAAACCAAATGGCAGTGTTTCTCAAACTTTTCTTAGTCGTGCCGCCTTTTTTCAATTAAAGTTTTTCCAAGGCACACTAAAGTAAAAGTATGACTATTTGTATGTAAGAGATAATAATAAAAAATTTTTAATTAAAAAATAATGTATCTTTAAATATTTTGCAGCACCCCTCTGAAGAAATCGCAGCTCCCCGGGGGTGCCACGGAGCACAGTTTGGGAATCACTGTCATATGGGCATGAAATGCTATAGACTTCAAACACAGGATAATTCTAAACATACTACTTTCATAATCCATCATGCAATGAAACAAAATCTACATACAGATATGACATTTATAATGAATAATTTCAATGAGGATATTTACAGCAATGTACGTTAACTGCTTATCATAGGACTAATAAATGCAACTTGAAGACTTGATGCTATGGCAGAGCAGACCAGGCCCTTAGCCTTGGCTGGCAGCTGGTCTTGGAGAGCAGCTCACACAGACAGACAGATAGAACTTTGCTCTTCTGATCAAGTGGTTTATTCAGCAGTAAGTTTTGTTCAAGATATACTGGTGTTATCTTTCCTTTGGAGTAAACAAGACAGGTCGAGACAGGGATCATGTTGAATGGACAATGCATAGTCCGTATAAAACCGCCCAGGCTCTGTGCTACGGACAGGAAGAACACTCCTGGCCGAAACTAATTCCCTCGCCTCCCAATAGCACAATATAACGTTCTCATCTGGAATACGTAACTTGGTTCTGAAACTATATAATTTAGAGTCCACAGTTCATTCAGGTCTTTAAATCTTTTAGTCCTAAACAATGCATAGTGTGTCATGGCTCTTTTCTTGTGAATCACAGTCAGTGAATAATGTATTGTCTTACATTTTAAATTTGGCCAGAGTATATCAAAGAAATCTGGCTACTCAAGTGAGGCACATATAAATCATTATGATCTGAGGAGAATGGCACTGCCAGGAGTTAACAAGGGATCTGACACTCAACACTCAGGGGAAAGGTGAAACAGATATACAATCTGACAGTTACTGGTACTATCAAACCTTTTTTTTTTTTAATCTCTAGTCTTACATCTGCCTGATCTTCAATATATTTGCCTTTTCATAACTTATTTGAGGTCTAAATACTAATGTTATATTTGCTAAATAAATGCTAATCTTCGCATGGAATTACGGTTATCAAAACAATACCAGCTGCAAAATCAAGATCCTCTAATTGTAGTTTTCCAGTTTTCAGACGCTTGGTGACAAATATAGAGACGGAAAGCAAGCACAATAAAACACTTATTACAATTCACGATACTGCAGTGACTGAACAAAGATTATATTATAAATACAATGTACCCATCCTGATCCAGAGAACCTATTCGTCTGTGATGCACAAGGGAGAGAGGAAAGATACAATCTTCAACAAATGAAAACAAAAACCAAAGCTTTCAAATAAGCGTGCAATAAATCATAACATAACATAACATAACATAACATAACCCTTGACTAGTTAGGATCAAGGAGATGTATCGATGGAAGAACCAGCATGTAAAACTCGCCATCTTTCTCTGTCTTCCGCTTGAAGAACAAGTGTATGATAACTTAGTCCTGTCCATTTCTTGATGTTGTCATTCCAGGTTCTTCTTTGCCCTCCTCTTCTTCACAGTAATAGTAATAAACCATGCAACTGGCCAAAAGAACAAAGTATAACACAGAATCTGGGAACTGTTAGTGATTCATCAGCACATAGCAGGTGCTTTAGCTGATTCACTAAAGTCGCTCACAGCACAGGATGCCTGAAAGAAGCTCAACACTCACCAGCTCTCCTGCCTCATGAATGTTCCTGCCCAATGTGCCTCTTATGTCCTGTGCCCACCTTTATGCTGGTCAGCCCTTGCCACTCTTCACCTCCGCTACTGTTCTTCCTAGACACCATGGAGTTTCATATGGCTAAAATATTTCAGTTTCTGAGACAAATTGTTCTTTATGAGCCAATCTTTCCTGCTTTTCAGATCTTTAAGAATGTCAATATTCCTTTTTATCTTGATCCATTGTATTGTAAGAATATTTCTATAGCACTTCAGCTCAAAAACCCTTATTTTATTCCTTAACTCTTTGAGTCCCAGGGGGTTTAGCATCACAGGCCCAGGGGGTAGTAAAGAAAGTAATAAAATTGGTGCATCATGCATTCATTGGGCTTCTGGGTAGGAACCTATGAACATATGATGCGTTCCTTGGGACTCAAAGAGTTAATGATTGTGAGATAGTCGAGGAGTCACATCCGTATGTTGCTACAGAAAAGATGCATGCACTCAAAAGGCTTCCATGATGTGTTTCCTGGGATACATCATGTGGTAGTGTTAGTGAATAGTTAATTCTTAAACAACAACAAAACACACAAAACCACAAGTGGACAAACAACCAGAACTTTCCACTGGAACTTACAGCCGGTGAACATGAAGAAGAAGAACAGTATGTCGGTTTTGGAGTGATTAAGAAACATATGGTGCACTGTTTGGTATAACGACAGTACGAGAATCATACCATGGAGGAGATGGGGCCTCACCCCGAATATTCCCAAAGACATGAAAAGTTACGGCAACCAACCTTCACTATGGAGAAGGCACACAGTATTTCTGACATGCAAACCAGGTGAGATAAAAATCCATTAGTTTTTTTTTTCCTGTTGTTAATGTTGAACTTAATAAAATGGTATCAAGAAAGCCGACCATCCAGAAAGCAATGGCAAACTACTGGATGTAAATTTGCCTAGAAAAACCACACAACAGCCAGGGTCCTGTAAAGGATATGCAACTAACCTAAGAATGTTGAACTAAGAATCAACATCACAGTACTCGGGACACCCCCATAAGCGCTCTGTCCCCATCTTCAGCAGCAAGCGAAGAGTTAAAATTCTGATGGTACCAGTAACTGTCTGATTGTATATCCATATCACATTTTTCCTGAGCGTCGGCCAGATCCCCTGGTAGCTCCTTGCAGTGCCATTCTCCTAGGACCATAATGATCTGTCTGTTCCTCAGCACTGTTCACTCGCTCCCATAAGCCCTCATAACATCCAGTTTGTCATACATCAGTTCACCATCAAGTGGTACAGAACCGGCCAGTCTATCTGCTTGCTCATTTCCCAACACACCGGCATACCCTGAAGAAAATATCCAAAGGATGCTAACTACCCAGGACCTTTGAAGTGATGCTAGCCTCTCTACACGGAGCATGCCTGTCTTCACCTTTCTCAACATGCTCTGTGAGTCAGTTACAATCACGGCATGTGTGTACAGCTAACTGTCAAGCCAGTGGAAGGCAGCAGTGACTGCCTCCATCTCTTTTCTCAAACTAGACATTGTTTTCTTTCCCTATTTACAGTTAGATCATCACAGTCTGGGGAGACGTGTGCTTCTGGACTGACTAGGGGATTTGGCCAAAGCTTAAAATGCAGGGAAAAGGTGAGATGGATATACAATTAAACTGTTACTGCTACTATTGCAACTCTGCATTTGCTGCTGAAGATGGGGACAAAGCAGTTATGGGAATGTCCTGAACTATGATGCTGATTCTTAATTCAACATTTCTGTTAATGGTTTAAATTTAATCCTTGAAAGAGAAACTTTTTCATCATATATTAATTGTTTTTGGGATCCTTTAGATTGTTTCTGTAAGGTACATAGCCATGGAAATTAGGTGTCTGAGAAGGGCTGCAGAAGTGACTACAAGAGATCAAATCAGAAATGAGTTCATAATAGAAAAAGGCAGCACAGAACCAATTCTAATTTACAAACAAAGACAGCAAATAAAATGATGTACCCAATTAGACAGAATGCCTTGTGATGTCATACCACACAAGGCAAACACTAAAAGAGAAGAAGGATGTAGATCACGAGGTATACCAAGAATAAAATGGAAAGATAACATCAGAGATACTCTACAACAGTATGATACCTCTATTGTCAAGGCAGTCAAACCAGCAAGAAGCAGAACCTTATATCCCCCTCCAAATCCAAAGCGGTGAAAGAGGAAGCAAAGAAAAAGCCGAAGATAAAATTCTTGTTGTTTTTTCCGTTTTATCTTTCAATAAAATATATTGTACCGTACAAAAACAGCATCCATCTGTTGTGCTTACCTCTTTGTAGCATGTCATGGAATTTTTCAGGGTCTCCCTTAGCTCCACCAGCTGCTTTTTCTCCGCATCTTGTCTCTGTCTAATCTTCTGAATCTGCTTTCCTAACTCCTCTACAAAGTCGTGGAAATGTTGGATTGTCCGAAGGCCATCTCTGAAGAAGCTAATAAATAACAGAAGAAACAGAAAAATATCAGAGCATCTACACATAATCTGTAAGAAAGCTAGAATAAAAGAGAAGAAACAGAAAAATATCAGACCGTCTACACATCATCTTTAAGAAAAGCTAGAATAAAAGAGAAGAAACAGAAAAAAAATCAGACCGTCTACACATCATCTTTAAGAAAGCTAGAATAAAATAAAAGAAATTGAAAAATGTGTACAGATGATTATAGGAAGGCAGAAAGATAGGTTTATTGCTTTTAGTTGTGGCAAGTTTTTGCTTCTAACAAAAGTTAGCCATTGCATTTTCCTCAATATGTAGACTGAAAGGAGATAGTGCCGTCACCCAGAAACTGAGCTAAGTGCCTAGCGCGATACTGAGCTGCAGATTTAACTAGGAATGCTTTTCAACTTTTCCCAAACAAGGTGTTTGTGTTCTGAACTGACCTGCTGCCAGAGGACTGGTAATGCTTTATACAATTAATTGCATGTGTAAAGAGAAAGAGATAAATTTTACCACCTTCACACCATCTCTCATAAAGCTAGTATAGAGAAGCAGAAGGAGAAGGATGGTCAGGGGGGGGGGGGGGGGGGGGGGGGGGGGGGCAAAGGAAGGTGAGAAGGAGGGGAAGAAAGGGATAGAAGGAGGAATCATATATTCGTACTTACTTGGCTTGAACTTGGTAATACTCTGCCAGAGACTGCAGCAGGTCGGACCCCTTCTTAGTGCGGATTTCATTAACTTTGATCAGGTACTGTAAGAAAGACAAACAAAAAACTGTTAGGGCTGTTTATGGATCAATAACAATTCTCATAATATTATTATCACGGCTACAATAGGGCTTCAGATAAAAACCTTAAAAGTGTGATAGCAATTTTATTACTAGGCCATTGTCTTGTATCCTGTCGACATTGTTGCTAAGGATGTCAAGAGGGTTAAGCACTTGATAGCATGCAGCAGATGAACATAGTGATATTATTACAGTGTAAAGATGGTCACCCCACTTTTAAAATACACCAAGGGTGTTTTTCAAGGTGTTAAGGTTTGTTTCTGAAGCCTCGTCAAATCAATGTTATCACTGTTTCCAACACTGTCTAGAGAAATAGAAGTAATTTTGTAGCAACACCTCAAGAAATAGAAGTACCTTCATGAGTTAGAAGTACATCTAATGTCTCATGAATTAGAAGTACCTTCATGAGTTAGAAGTACATCTAATGTCTCATGAATTAGAAGTACCTTCATGAGTTAGAAGTACATCTAATGTCTCATGAATTAGAAGTACCTTCATGAGTTAGAAGTACATCTAATGTCTCATGAATTAGAAGTACCTTCATGAGTTAGAAGTAAATCTAATGTCTCAAGAATTAGAAGTACCTTCATGAGTTAGAAGTAAATCTAATGTCTCAAGAATTAGAAGTACCTTCATGAGTTAGAAGTAAATCTAATGTCTCAAGAATTAGAAGTACCTTCATGAGTTAGAAGTAAATCTAATGTCTCATGAATTAGAAGTACCTTCATGAGTTAGAAGTAAATCTAATGTCTCATGAATTAGAATATAACTTCAAAAAATTTCAATCAACCTGTGAAGTAGAACTTGTCTGCTTCGCCACATGAGCGCCCCCAAGTGACGTACAATGGCGTAATGATTTTTAAAATAATATCCCCCCTGTGTGGGTTTCGGGGCCCTATTGTGGGGAAAACAAGAATAGACCCACCGCCTACCCAAAAGCATGTCGCAAGAGTCGACTAATTGGAAGCTTCCTTCGAAGTGGGAGTGCATCTGCCTTAGAGGAAAGGAACCAGCAGTCTGCATACAAATGATTCAGATCTGTCAAACAGATGCACATGCAACACTCAGGTTCTGGAACAGGGCTGAAGTCCAGAAGTGGACAAACAACCAGAACTTTCCACCAGAGTTTACAGCTGGTGAATGCGAAGAAGACGAAGAAAATAACATCAGACTCCTCTTCTATGATGAAATGTTCAGGCCTTTAGCCTCACACTTCAAAAGTTGCTGATCGAGTTTCAGACTGATTCGTTCAATTCACACATGTCAAGGGTTCCAAACCAATGAGTTTGACCCCAAATGGGGTCATAAGGGGTTTTCTGTGGAGTCGCTATGACACAGACTTTCAATGCTTTTTCTAATTGGAAACCAAAACAAGATACAGAAAAAACAATGCCAAGAATGACATGATGATGGTATTAACGAAAACTCAACCGCAAATTTATAGGCTTGTTAATAAATACCAATTTCAATCATCCCATTAAATATGCCCCACATAATTTTGAATTCTATTATACTGGGGGAAAAAAGCCTTTAAAAAAGTATATGTTATATTTTACCATACTTAAAAGCCTATATAGAATGTATGGGTGTGTTGAGTCACTTCACTAAAGCCTGGACTCAATAAAGTTTGGGAACTGCTGCCATTTACAATTTGCAAGATCCTGAGGTGTTGCCGCTGCAGCTTCAGAGTTCTATGTGTTATGTATCATTTTTGGCAGGTGGCTGTGTCTGTGAGAGAGAGAATGAGCCATAAAGGATCAAATTCGGTGCAATGAACTATAACCTATCAATTTTAAACAAACATCTTTAAAAACTCTTATCCCTGTGTGGGTTCTAGTGCACTATTGTGGGGGGGGGGGGGGGGGGGCGGAAGAATAGACCCGCTGCCTACCCAAAAGCAGGTCGTAAGAGTCGAATAACTGGGAGCTTCCTTCGAAGTCGGAGTGCATCTGCCTGAGAGGCAAAAAAACCAGCAGTCTGCATACAAATGAGTCGGATCTGTCAAACGGATGCACATGCAACACTCAGGTTCTGGAACAGGACTGCAGTCCAAAAGTAGATGAGCAACCAGAACTTTCTGCCAGAGTTTACAGCTGGTGAACATGAAGAAGAAGAAGAAGAAGAAGAAGAAGAAGAAGAAGAAGAAGAAGAAGAAGAAGAAGAAGAAGAAGAAGAAGAAGAAGAAGAAGAAAAAGAAGAAGAAAAACTAACTAACTAAGAACTTTTCAGAGATGACATTACAAACCTCACCTCACACATTTGTAGCTGGAAAATTTTTCTCTCTTTCTCCATTTCTTCAGCAAGCTGTAAAACAAAACATAAGGATGTCTGAGTTTAATACTGAAGCAAAGCTCTCTACAATTCTGTCATGTCTTCATTATAGGGGCAACCTTTTATCCTTGTTTCCAAAGGAAGAGAGACTTGAGAATATATGCTCCCAGAGCTATGCCAAAGAGCTTTCTTCCATTTCTTCATTACTACAAGGATTAGTGATTAGTGATTAGAAAGGATTATCATCACAGCACTCCGGACACATCCATAGGTGCTCTGATCTCCTCCTCAAAAGCTCCACAAGTGTAAAACGACTGATGACGCTTGTTCTGTGTTGGTTAATGAAACGTCTTGTTCTGATTATTTTTGCCGCGCGATAGGCGTTTTCTGCGGTTCCTCCTTTTAACGTGTACATCACTATTACATATCTGTGGAGCAAGTGAAGAGGATCTCAGCTCAAGCTCACATACTCCGTCGCGTAAGCGAGAATCCTGGCTGCAGAGGTCGTCAATGTCGTTGCTACGGCCGCCATGACGTCGATCGGCAGCACACACATCGAATACTCACTAAAACAGCAACGCATAGTCACCACACCGGCCTAGAACACATATCTTGCAGTGTAACACATTTCTGCGCTGCCTTTGAGCCAATATTTTAATATGGTCTAAGTGAAATGCGCCGGATAAAAAGCGAAGTCATGGCTCATGAGCACAAACACAACAACACGGCGCCAAGTTGCGCCTAGGAATTTTTATATTCTGTAGTGCCATAACTTGTGTTGCCCCACCCATGAAATAGGTTGGATGTGTATATTGTGCGCGGGTTAACGCCTAGACTAATACGAGCCGACATCCCAACATTGATCTATTTCAGAGTGCTGTTGGTTCATTAGGAGAAATCCTTAACTAGGCAAGTGACACGAGCGGTATGTGACACTAACTACCCGGGACCTCTGAAGTAATGCTTGCCACTCTTCGTGAAGCATGCTGATGGGTGAGTAATGGGTAATGGGTGAGCAAGAATGGATATTCTTTCCATAATATCCATAAGCCTAAAAGCCTATCTTTACCGCTTACATACGCACACACACACACATAAAAATAAACTATATACACAGAAACGAACCTCAGCACCAGAAATCTCTGCTCGGACCATCCCTGCCTCCTGGGCTTGTTTCTTCTTCTCCTTCTCTGTTTTTGAACTGACATAGAAATCCATAACAACTGCATTATAACAAAAGCCCAAAACATTGTCAGTCCAAATAGTATCAGGAACAAATAATATACAACGAACCATGAATCAATGAATAAATCATTCAATTGAGTACATCCTGGCATTGACAGCTGATAGCAATGAATTAATTGAACACAAAACTAGGAATAGGATAATCCTTCAAAGTCGGAGTGCATCTGCCTGAGAGGTGAAGAACCAATAGTCTGCACGCAAATAAGTGAAGTTAAAAAAAAAAGTAAAGAGCCCTTTTCCACGCCTTTCAGGCATATTGGGTATATAGGGCTAGACCTATATTTTATAGACCAAACGACACTTAGTGGGTGATGTGGTCAGCATCACGCCAGCCGTCTTTACTTCCCATGACTATGCCTGGAACCCTAGCCACTTGACCATGACAGCTCCCCAAACAAGTAGGCCACATGTGTAACATGGATGTGCATGCAAAAGTCAAGTTTTAGAATAAGAAAAAGAAAAAGAATAGAAAGCTCTATGGCGCGGTTGGGGGGGGGGGGGGGGGGGGGGGGGTTAGAGCACATAGGAACAAACATTTCAGGCACAGCCTTTATAGACAAGTAGCATCATAAAAAAAAAGGCTCTGTCCGAAATGTTGGTCTATGTTCAGTGAATTCATTTATATTGTCAGTCATTGCTATTTTATCAATTTTGCAAAAATGAATCAACTGTGTGGATCTTTAAAGAGCTCTCAAGAAACACCAGTTCTATGCCAACACAAGCGTCATTACAGTGGTGACTATTGGTTCAGCGAACAACCAGTCTTGGATGGACCATATCTGGGTGGTGAAATGATACATGAAATGAAAGCGGACAGTGAAGTGACCTACTGAAAGGATTACAGTACGAATCTTCTAACTGATGATGATGAAGAGGCTTTGGATGCTGCACAAAAAACACAAGTTATGCTTACAATTTTGTCTCATAATCTTTCCAGGCTTTATCAAAGGGCTTCTTCAAGTCACCTTTAGCCCCCTTTAGGTCACCTTTCAAGAAGGAATCAAGTGGGAAAAGCACCATGTTGTTCAAGCCATCCATCTGTACAGCATAATCAACAATAAACTATTTAGTTTAGGGAATGCAGCGATTTCTACACAATTTAGAAAAAGCCTTTTATTTAAATTTCCATACATACTGACATATTAGATGACTGGTAAACAAGATAGTGTTTTTGAAGTTTTGAACACAGGATCAACATCATGGCACACGGGTAGTAACCCATAAGTGCTCCGTTCTTCTTCTAACTCAAGTCTGAGTCTCAAGACGCTCAGCACAGTGCACAGGCTCTGTAGCACCGGGTAGGATCCTTAAATACTTTGGGTAGGTTTTAAACTCTAAATTTTACCTAGGCAGCGCCTTTAAGCTACTCTTTTCGATTTCCTGCAAAGGGACTTTTTACGTGCGCAAAAATGCACACAGGCGTCCGATCTCACTACACAGAGACCAGGGGGAATTACTAGAAATCCAAGTGAAAAAATCCCAGCCCTTACTGGGGACTGAACCCAGAACCTTTAGCCCTGGAGGTGGACAACATGACTCGAGACCACGCAGCCGCCTACAAGATAGTGTATGCAATTCAAAAACAATCAGAGACTTGATTTTATATTTCATACATACTGACATCATTAGATCATGAGTAAATAAATCTGTAAACAATTCAATCAACATTCTGTGAATGTGGCGGCTGGGGTTGCATAGGCTCTTGCCTGATGACCCAAGGTGCCGGGGTTCAAATTCACAGGGCCAAAATATTTCACTTTCGGGGACATGATGCTGTTTATGAGCCACTCTTCCTTGCTGTTAAGTTCTTTTAGTGTGTCAGTTTTTCCTATTGGTGCATAGTATTCTTGGTCCCCAATCAATTTACATATTCACAAATTCTTCTTCTTCTTCGCGTTCACCGGCTGTAGACTCTGGCGGAAGGTTCTGGTTGCTCGTCCACTACTGAACTGCAGTCCTGTTACAGAACCTGAGTGTTGCGTGTGCATCAGTTTTACAGATCTCATTCTCTTGAATACAGACTGTTGGTTCCTTGCCTCTCCGGCAGATGCAATCCAACTTCAAAGGAAGCTCCCCAATTAGTCGACTCTTACGACATGCTTTTGGGGAGGCAGTGGGTCTATTCTTGTTTGCCCCACAATGGGGCCCCGGAACCCACACGGGGGGTTTCAAAAATTAATATGCATAATGATTTTTTTTTTTTAGTATCCAGAAGCCATGAGTTGTTAACCCTTTGGCTCAGTACTATGGATATCGCAACCCTTCGGCCTTGATTCCATGATAGGTACCGTAAATCTGGGGGAAATATGGCTTTTATGCCTACCCCCAGGAGTGAACCCGGACCACAAGGAGTTCCTCACCCGGTCACCGGTCAAGTCAGATTTAACTAACTACGCTAGAGAGCCGGGCACCTAATGATCGTAAAATACAATTTTAAAAATCGTAATCACTACCCACCATATTCTTCATCATGGATGACAGATCTTTGGTCACATGGGAGAACTTTAAGAATGCCTCCCCTGGTATCAGAGAGATCAGAAACACAGCATTAGGATAAGTCTCTTTTAAGTCTTTTTCTTCACATTTATGGGCTGTAAACTCAAGTGGAAAGTCCTGATAATACGTCTACTTCTGGACTATGTTACTGTTCCTGGACCTCAGTATAGGATGCAGATCTGGCTTGTGTGCTGACTGTTGGTTCTTGCATCTCAGGCAGATGCGCTCTGACTTCAAAGGGAACTGATCCAATCTAAGTAAGCCAGGCTCCTGTTGGGAACCTCATTCTAGGATGATTCCTGAGAGACGTCGATAGGTTCTTGACCAGCATGCACCTTGTTCCTGAAGTACCACTCACTGTGGTTCAGCACCTTGCATTCTTCTCTCTCTCTCTCTCTCTCTCTCTCTCTCTCTCTCTCTCTGCCCCTCTTTGTCTATCTCTCCTCTCTCTCTCTCACATACACCCACCCACACACAAACACATCTATCTGCCCATATCTAACCATATCGACCTATCTATCCACAAATATCGATTCTTTACACGAGGCCTTCTACAGCAGAATATCTAAGGGAAGGTGAGAGCAAGACCAAGGAAGACATGGACAGACAGTGTTGCTGATGTACAACAAGATGTACTAAACCCCTCTCAAGCCACCCAAGAAGCTGAAGTCAATTACAGAAAACAAGGACAAAGGTAACAGAGTAATGAAAAAAAATTAGGAGAACAACCAACATAAATGGTCAAATAATACTTCAACATTAAGCAATATCATTTGGTACTCAAAAAATTGTATAGTTTTCAAACCAAGTTCCTATAACACTTTAACATTAAGCAATATCATATGGTACTCTAAACTGTATAGTTTTCAAACCAAGTTTCTATAACATTTCAACGATAAGCAATTTAATATAGTTGTAGTGAACCATTTTCTCCTTGATAAGTTATGTTCCAGACGGAATGACGTCAGCTAATAAATATGAATGAGATCTTTAAATGTAACAAGGGCAGAGCTGTGAATCACGGAAAAAATGCTGGCCAAATGAAACCTGTGTGAATCGGAGAACGTGAAAAAGTCGTAATTATAATGCTGGCGTTAAAAGATTATATAATGCCTTAGAAAGAGGCATGTGTACAGTCTTGTTTGGGCCATGAAACTGTGTGCATGGAGAACGGAGGAGTGTTTGTCGTATCCAGTGTGCGTCTGATTTGTCTGCAAAGTTTCAACGCCTACTTAGCCAGACAGCAAAGGACTGACGGAAATTCGTCTTCCAGCTGATTTGTGTTGGCCGCCGATATGGAGAAAGTTGTGTTTTTTTTTTTCTTTCTGTGGTAATGGAGGTTGTTTTCGGCCAAAAGGTAAAGTCGATCAATATCTTTGTACATTTGGGAAGAACATTCATTCTCTAGACATGTCCTTCCCCATGTACTGGCTGAAGAAACAGCGAGTGGAGAATAAAGTGTGAAACCGTATTGTGCCGTTCACAGTCGTCCATTTTTACTCGTGGTGTTGATGTCAGTACGTGAAAGAGAAGTCAACAAGTAACGGAAGCCAGAGTGAATGAGAACAGAGTCATTGCAATAGTAAAGTAAAGTAAAGGACCCTTTTCCATGCCTTTAGGCGTATAGGGCATATAGGGCATATAGGGCTAGACCTATATTCTTTTATAGACCAGTAGGCACAAGATGGGTGATGTGGTCAGCATCAAGCCCGCCACCTTTACTTCCCAGGACTGCACCCGGTACCCATTCAAGGCTGGCTGGTAGACCGCTTCGTCATTGGTAGGGACAGTATTTGGGTCTGTCTCTTTTAATGGTATCAACACTGCAAGAGTTCTTTTCAGGGCTACTTGGAGGCCAAAAATGCTAAGCCATTTTATATGGTGCACGTAAACCTCGTCACATTTATAACCTGAAGCTCCTCCTTTGGAGAATCTGGCGGAATGTGACGATTTTTCTCCGCAAAGCAAGCCAAAAACACACAAGATTAAAGTCCAGAGGTGGATGAACAATTAGAACTTTCTGCCGTAGCATACAACCAGTGAATGTGAAGAACAAGAAAATTGTCAGTGTTTATAATTATTAGTGTGCTATGGGAACAGTCAGCATCTACAACTTCAGCATATATATGCGTCTGCCCGGTATGCTATGCTGTCACTTCTTAAATCATTTCATTGACAGTCAAATGACACATTCGCCACTTATAACAATTAAATAGTTGACTTCCTGTTGTCGCTAACAATCAAACAACACATGGACTGACAAACAACAGTAATATACACCTAATGGACCGACAAACAACAGTAATACACACCTAATGGACTGACAAACATCAGTAATACACACTTAATGGACTGACAAACAACAGTGATACACACCTAATGGACTGACAAACAACAGTGATACACACCTAATGGACTGACAAACAACAGTGATACACACTTAATGGACTGACAAACAACAGTAATACACACCTAATGGACTGACAAACAACAGTAATACACACCTAATGGACTGACAAACAACAGTAATACACACTTAATGGACTGACAAACAACAGTGATACACACTTAATGGAATGACAAACAACAGTGATACACACCTAATGGACTGACAAACAACAGTAATACACACCTAATGGACTGACAATCAACAGTGATACACACCCAATGGACTGACAAACAACAGTGATACACACCTAATGGACTGACAAACAACAGTGATACACACCTAATGGACCGACAAACAACAGTGATACACACCTAATGGACTGACAAACAACAGTAATACACACCTAATGGACTGACAAACAACAGTGATACACACCTAATGGACTGACAAACAACAGTAATACACACCTAATGGACTGACAATCAACAGTGATACACACCCAATGGACTGACAAACAACAGTGATACACACCTAATGGACTGACAAACAACAGTGATACACACCTAATGGACTGACAAACAACAGTAATACACACCTAATGGACTGACAATCAACAGTGATACACACCCAATGGACTGACAAACAACAGTGATACACACCTAATGGACTGACAAACAACAGTAATACACACCTAATGGACTGACAAACAACAGTGATACACACCTAATGGACTGACAAACAACAGTAATACACACCTAATGGACTGACAATCAACAGTGATACACACCCAATGGACTGACAAACAACAGTGATACACACCTAATGGACTGAGAAACAACAGTCATACACACCTAATGGACTGACAAACAACAGTGATACACACCTAATGGACTGACAATCAACAGTGATACACACCTAATGGACTGACAAACAACAGTGATACACACCTAATGGACCGACAAACAACAGTGATACACACCTAATGGACTGACAAACAACAGTGATACACACCTAATGGACTGACAAACAACAGTGATACACACCTAATGGACTGACAAACAATAGTGATACACACCTAATGGACTGACAAACAACAGTTATACACACCTAATGGACTGACAAACAACAGTGATACACACCTAATGGACTGACAAACAACAGTGATACACACCTAATGGACTGACAAACAATAGTGATACACACCTAATGGACTGACAAACAACAGTTATACACACCTAATGGACTGACAAACAACAGTGATACACACCTAATGGACTGACAAACAACAGTAATACACACTTAATGGACTGACAAACAACAGTGATACACACCTAATGGACCGACAAACAACAGTAATACACACCTAATGGACTGACAAACAACAGTAATACACACTTAATGGACAGACAAACAACAGTAATACACACTTAATGGACTGACAAACAACAGTAATACACACTTAATGGACCGACAAACAACAGTGATACACACTTAATGGACTGACAAACAGTAATACACACCTAATGGACTGACAAACAACAGTAATACACACTTAATGGACTGACAAACAGTAATACACACCTAATGGACTGACAAACAACAGTAATACACACCTAATGGACTGACAAACAACAGTAATACACACCTAATGGACTGACAAACAACAGTAATACACACCTAATGGACTGACAAACAACAGTAATATACACCTAATAGACTGACAAACAACAGTGATACACACCTAATGGACTGACAAACAACACTGATACACACCTATCTCATGCTCGTTGTCCCGGCTTTTGGCAATCACGCCCAGCCTCTCCAGGTTCTCTGCAACCATAGCATCACTGGTCACATGGTCTGTGAAAGAGAATCAGCAATCTGTCAGTCTCATCAAGAGAGTCAACAATGTGTCAGTCTCATCAACAGAATCAGCAATTTGTCAGTCTCATCCAGAGAATCAGCAATCTGTCAGTCTCATCAAGAGAATCAGCAATCTGTCAGTCTCATCAAGAGAATCAGCATTCTATCAGTCTCATCAAGAGAATCAGCATTCTATCAGTCTCATCCAGAGAATCAGCAATCTATCAATCTCATCAAGAGAATCAGCAATCTATCAATTTCATCAAGAGAATCAGCAATCTATCAATCTTATCCAGAGAATCAGCAATCTGTCAATCAGTCTTACATGACCAAACTGTCTCTTATCAAGGAAGCCCATAAACTATCAGACTTTACAAGGGAGCCCGTAAACTATCAGACTTTACAAGGAAGCCCGTAAACTATCAGACTTTACAAGGAAGCCTATAAACTATCAGACTTTACAAGGAAGCCCGTAAACTATCAGACTTTACAAGGAAGCCCATAAACTATCAGACTTTACAAGGGAGCCTGTAAACTATCAGACTTTACAAGGAAGCCCGTAAACTATCAGACTTTACAAGGAAGCCCGTAAACTATCAGACTTTACAAGGAAGCCCATAAACTATCAGACTTTACAAGGGAGCCCGTAAACTATCAGACTTTACAAGGCAGCCCGTAAACTATTAGACTTTACAAGGGAGCCCGTAAACTATCAGACTTTACAAGGGAGCCCGTAAACTATCAGACTTTGCAAGGAAGCCCGTAAACTATCAGACTTTACAAGGAAGCCCGTAAACTATCAGACTTTGCAAGGAAGCCCGTAAACTATCAGACTTTACAAGGGAGCCCGTAAACTATCAGACTTTACAAGGGAGCCCGTAAACTATCAGACTTTGCAAGGAAGCCCGTAAACTATCAGACTTTACAAGGAAGCCCGTAAACTATCAGACTTTGCAAGGAAGCCCGTAAACTATCAGATTTTACAAGGTAGACCGTAAACTTTCAGACTTTGCAAGGAAGCCTGTAAACTATCAGATTTTGTCAACATTACACTGACTACCTTCATTTCCCCAGGACATTTCCATGGTTCAAACATTATAAGCTGCATGGACATGGAAGCCAAGGTCACCTCTCCCCGCCCCCACCAAACCAAAATAAATTAGCCCTAATTCATAATATCAACTGAATGGTCTGTCTGTAAGTCTTATCTATTCCCTCAGGTTGCACAGTGTGTGTGTGTGCGCGCGCGCACGTGCGTGTGTGTGTTTTTTTTTCTTGTGTGGGTTCTAGGGCCCTTTTGTGGGGGAAAACAAGAATAGACCGCCACCCCAACAAGCATGTAGTAGGAGTCGACTAACTTGAAGCTTCCTTCAAAGTCAGAGTGCATCTGCCCGAGCGGCAAGGAAGAACCAATTGTACTACAAATAAGCCAGTAACACGGATGTACAGGCAAAACTCCTGCCCCGGCACAGAAGGTTGCAGAACCAACCCTAACAGCCCCTGGCTGTTGTGTGGTTTCTCTAGGCAAATTTACGTCCAGTAGTTTGCCATTGCTTTCTGGACGGTCGGCTTTCTTGATACCACTGTCGAAACCAACGCAAGGCGCATTGCCCGCAGCTGGGATCGAACCTGGCATCCCGGCATTACGAAGCGAAGTGTTCGCATCGACTTAGCCACAGAGCCGACGCCCTGGCACAGACAAAGTCCAAATGGACGAACAACCAGGACTTTCCGCCTGAGCTTACAGCCGGTGAACAAAGAAGAAGAAAAAGAGACACAAGCAACAACAGCCATGAGCATCATACATATACAAATCCCAGTTCACCGTCTATTTTTACTGGGGCCCCATACAGAACATAACATACAATAAATTGCAACTGCGGTCTGGAAGGGCCTAATGTAAGATGGACCGCGTGCCCTATTCTCTCCCCCCCCCCCCCCCCCCCCCCGTAAAAATAAAGTTTGTTCTTTCTTTCTACTTACAGCTGCTTCGAGATACCGGCTAAGTGATTTTGTGTATTTGTGTAGTATTGTTAGATTTGTATGTGCTGATGAAAGCTCCATGGCTGCAACGTTCACGTTTTGTTTGCATCTGTTATATTGTGAAGCTTGCTAATATACTTTTCGCTCGGTTTTATATCTTTTCTTTCTATCTACCTCGCTCCTCCAATCCCATCCCTCCTGCTCATCTTTTTTCTTCTTAAAAAAAATACGGTGACTCCGGCAAATTCTTCGCCTGGCCCTCCCTTTCAACCTCATCGTTGCGCTTTACAATTTACCAGCCGTTAGCGTGTGGTTCCCAGGCTATACCTCGGACGTGCAGAGAGAAAATAAGGGAGCGGGGAGGTCGTGAAAAATCTGTTGACCTAATTGTAAACCCCCCCCCCCCCCCCCCTCGGGTTCTGGCCGAGTCAAGGGCAGGCAGACCAAACGGTGACTTGACTGTGACCACAGGATTGACCCCATGGGAAAGTCTTGAGGGCTTTTCCTACCACCTGTTGATGTCCTCTAAATACTGTAATGAAATGATGGGTATTTTACACACCCCCCCCCCCCCCCAACCCCTCCCAGATCTGAGTTTTTATTTGACGCCTTTTGTTCAAATTTTCAAATCTGGGTGTTGTTGTTTTTTTTTATCCTTATATAAAAGTAGGTAGATGTTTCGTTTCAGAAATATAAAATTTGTACTTTTTAACACTAGGTTTTTAATTAATTTTTTTTTTATTTGCCTATGTATTCCTTGGGTTTTTGTTCAGCTTAGCTGGGTTTTTTTTTTTTTAAATCCCATTCGGCAACCCTGGTAGTGGGAAGTTTCTCTAACTTCTTCGCCCCTGCTCGCTGGCTGAATGATTTTGATTAGCGCACCACTGTCCCCAGCTTCAGCAGCCAGCGAAGAGTTTCGATACTAACGGTGCAAGTAGCATTCTGATTAAACGTCCGTCTTGCCTTTCCTCTGAGCTTCGAGCATCTGCCAGAACCTCTCATCACCCCCCCCCCCCCCCCACCCCCTTTGCATCAATCTCACCAGATTGAGGTGATCCATCGGCTCCTCCGAACTGTACACGCTCTCCCACAAGGCACTAACTACGTCTGTCTTATCATGTATCAGTATTCCACCCAGCTGTGCAGAGCCAGCCAACTGAATGAAGCCATCACAGGCCTAGTAAATACTTCAACACGTCGTATAAAGGTGGAATGGAGTAGGATTAGATGCGAGCCCTATGTGACATGTAACGGCATTATATGATGATGATGATGTTCTGACTTTAAACGATTTCATTTACATAACAGATGATGATGAAAGCTCTCAGGAGGCACCCATTTCAAACAGATGCAGGTATAGTGAACGCGGTTTAACTACTTGGTCAAGTGAGCAAGCGGACGGTATTCGCCGGCTACCTATGCAATAGGACCATGCTTGAATGCTTATGCCGAATTTTTCTGACCAACCCAAGGTGTAAAATGTATTCGCAATGAATGCTTTGTTTAAAATTCTGCCATCATTGTTCAAGTTTGTGTGTGTGTGTGTATGCGTTTGTAATAAACTCATTGAAACGGGTTTCAAACGAATGCTCCTTACTTGCCCCCCCCCCCCCCCCCCCCCCCCCCAAAAAAAAAACCAAAGCAAACGAAACCAAAGTTCTGTTAAAAAAATATCCCAGATAAATTAGCCCTTAAGCAAACAAATTTAAGGCCAAAACTCGCCTCCTCCAGCAAAGAATTGCAAAAACGACAGGGGAAAAACAAGAAACCCTAAAGAGATAATTGGCTGCTTTTGGGAACAAGAGGCATTGTCAATGGCAACAAGTACGGAAGACTTCAGCTGAAAACTGGAGACCAAAGTTCTTCCCAGTTTTGCAAGCTGGGTTGACGAGTTCGTAGTTACGGTTGTCGTGGCAACGTCTAGACAGCTTTATTACCCATAATACCGTCAAAACGGATAATGTAGTCCTTCTAAGTGATACCTCGGGAGAAAGGGGGAAAGGGGAGGAGAGAGGTCAGGGGTCATGAATCAGGCAGGCAAAATAGGGCTCATTAAACGATGGTCGGAGTCTGACGGGAACAACTGATAATGGCAGGCGTAAGAGTCGACTAACTGGGGAGCTTCCTTTGAAGTCGGAGTGCATCTGCCTGAGAGGCAAGGAACCAGCAGTCTGCATTCAATTGAATCAGATCTGTAAAACTGATGCACACGCAACACTCAGGTTCTGGAACAGGACTGCAGTCCAGAAGTGGACGAACAACCAGAACTTTACACCAGAGTTTACAGCTGGTGAACGCGAAGAAAAAGAAGAAGAAGAATTAAGTAACAGAAAGTGTATTGATCGGCACTCATGGAAAGAAGTAGAAAGATAGATACCTCGGGAGAATGGGGGAAAGGGGAGGAGAGAGGTCAGGGGTCATGAATCAGGCAGGCAAAATAGGGCTCATTAAACGATGGTCGGAGTCTGACGGGAACAACTGATAATGGCAGGCGATAGTAGGAATTAATTAAGTAACAGAAAGTGTATAGATCGGCACTCATGGAAAGAAGTAGAAAGATAGAAGAACACACTAGACAACATAAAAATCGAAAACTATAGTTGCCGTGCCGGGAATTGAACCTGTCACCTCCAGAGGGCATGTGCGCCTCGCCATGGATACAAGTGCACTAAGAACATGGTCAACTAGGCACCCCCGAAAAAAAGGGCGATAGTAGGAATTACTTGCAGTGGATAAATCTTTCTTCTCAGGAGTACGTCATTCACATAAATAAACAGAGGGGCAATCCTTGGGGCCGTTAGATATTATATATTAATAACGTAACAGAAAATGTATTGATTGGCACTCATAGAAAGAAGTAGAAAGACAAAAAAACACACACTAGACAACATAAAAATCGAAAACTATAGTTACCGTGCCGAGAATCGACCCTGACACTTCCAGACGGCATGTGCGCCTCGCTATGGAAACAAGTGCACTAAGAACATGGTCAACTGGGCACACCCAAAAGAAAG